ATAATGTGGATGCAATTCTGTTGGTAGGATGCACTTTCGACGGAAGTGCTTCCCTAGGGTGCTCCTTGGGTCCCTAGGGATTTTTCCGAGACTGCCAGGATCCTGCGAGGCGCGCTTCCGCTCGCGGGCTCTCCTCCGGGCGCACCTGTACAGGTGCATCCTATGCAGGTGCATCCCCTTAAGCCGAGAAACCCGAGGTATGAACCCCTCTTGGGGGCCGTTAAAGCGCGGCCATTTTGCGAGCACTCTCGAAACTTAAGCCCCGACGAGGGCCGGTAAACGCCGAGAACTTGGCCCCGACGAAACTTGCCTCGTCGAGGGGCTTACAATTATTAGGGATCGCCCCAGTTGGGGGGAACGTGCCCCAGAGGTGCGGACGCCGTGGGGGGACTCCCCCAGGACGCGTCTCGGACACGCGAGCCGCTAATCGTGGATGGGATCGAGGATTCTCCCATTCCTGGGATCCTGGGTGGTATTGTCTTTGTCCAGGCTGTTAAGAAAAATTTCCTACAATAAGTTTATAATATTTCTATCGAAATTTTAATTCAGGCATGGTATACTAAGTCTACAATATACGTAGAATAAACTTACGTTTACTTTTATAAGTTTATTCAGAAACTTGTAATAATGAATTTTAGACCATTCAGTGTATAATTCTACTGCGACCTTGTGTACCGGAAGTGCGTGAGTGTTTTTTAATACTTTTAACAGGGTAGATTCATCAGAATGTGGCTATGTATTTTTAAATATCCATGCGCGGGGGTGGAGTTCCTCCTGGGGGGTCCGTCCTCTTCGGCGGGCGGAGCGCGACTGAGCCTCCGAGACCCGCGACCCCAGGACTACCCCCCACCCCTGCATAATTCACCCCGGTCAAATGGTCCGGCGCACTCGATTATTCCGCCGCGCCAAATATGTAATTCCATTTGACAATTGAATCTGACAGGTGTATCCGATCGGTCGCGATTTCATCGCCGTGCCGAACCTCCCCCCGTGAGAAAATAGGGGTGAAGCCCACCCCGCAGGATTCCTGTGACCCATAGAAGGGGTTGCTTTTCCATGGGAGCCGAAAAATCGAAGTCAAAGTCGAGGTGTCGATGGTCACGGTTTTGGGGGAAAAGCCACCCTTACGTGCGGAGGGTCCTGTTTAATATCGCGCATTTCCGCCCCTCGGAGGGGGTGGCCCGATAAATATGGCCGCGAGACGCCGTAAATCTCGCGTAATTGAATTTCGAACATCCATAACCAGGTCGGGACATCCGGGGACGTCCCGGAAATGGGGTGCGTCTTGGCCGGTCGCAAACCCGGCCAAGGGAAGGTCTCTGGATTTTTCGAGCCCCAATATCCGAGGGGTGAATTTTAATTCAGCCCTCCTGGAGCCGGTCCTCACCCACCCTCTCGGAGGAAGAGGTCTTTGAAGTTCCGGGATAGCTAATCGGGCTCCCGGACTCGGGGGTGGCCGACTTTGATTGTCGGCGATGCCGGACAAAGGGGTGCAAAAGGGGTTGGCTAGCCGCCGGGGGGCACGAGTGCATCCCGTCCCCCGAGGGATGTGCGAGTGAATCCCTGATTTTTGGAGGAAAATCCAGAATTTCGGAGGGAATTCTCTCGAGAGAAAAGGGGTGAGTCGAGACGCACCCCTGCGGAAGGGTTGCTGGGAGGGACGTCTCGCTGAGGAGGAATTTAATTGAGGATATCCGACTTCTTTGACGTCGCGACGCCCCGAAGGCGGCGTTGAAAGGGGTGAGGGGGGGTGAGGGGGGTGGACGGATGGCCGGATATGAAGAGGGATGTCCTCTTAAGTCGGATTACACGGGCGAGTCTCTCCCAAGAGCTGCCGATTCACCCTAGAGACCGTAAATGGTTCCACCCCATCCCACCCCCTCGGAGGGGGTTGGAATAAATTTAGAAAACCCTGGAAAAACCTTTTCCTAAGGCGAAAGAGGTTCCTCGGAAGGGTGGGGAGAAATTTCTGCCACCGATCGCCGTGCTCCGATTGGCCGAATACCACCCCCCTGGGGGGGTGCCACTTCCGACTCCCTGGGGCCGCGTTTTCCGCGTCTTCCGCGTTTCCCGCGGATTTCCCGCCACGGATATCCGGCCGGATGGGGATTCGCGCGGGCCGTGACGTCAGAGATTATGATAAACCCTCCCCCGGCAGCGAGAAACAAATGACATACTAACTGCATATTAACCGGCCCGCCTGGGAATGTTTTGCCCACTCACCCCATGCCCGCTTATGGCCATTCTGCTCCAGAAGTGGACAACACTTTCCCGGCCACCCCCCCGCGTGTAATCGCGTTGTCTTCCCCGATAGGTTAGGAGGCTCGCACGATGGAAACAATTACGTTTCCGCAGCTCCTCCCTCCACCTCGAGCACGGAGCTGAGCTCGAAATGGGCCCACTCACCCCCGAAATTCCGGCCAAATTTCGAATTGACAGAAATGCCGAGGAATCCCTTGCTACGTCCCTCTGGATCTCCACAAATTTGGAGGTCTCGAGTCTCGACTGCGGCTTAGATTTTTTTTTTCTTTTCTTTTCTTTTCTTTCCGCCACCGGTAGGAATATTTTCAAAAACAGGAAAATCAGGGTATCGCTTGAATCAACCCCGAAATTGTTTGCGAGGGTGATCAGTCAGCTCCGCCAATTTCACGGGGGGGTTGGGGGGTGAATCCTGCACGACGATTGGTCGCCTATTAGGGGTGATCGCGGGGGCGATTAGTCGATCGGCGCGTCCAATCGGGAACGATTAAGTCGTTGGCCAGGGGTAGCTACCCCTTTATCGCCGAGTTCGCTCCCTCAAATCGTTTAATTAACGCTGTTTAATTCCTGGAATTTCAAAAGCTTTCCACTGTATTTCCTTTTCGTTTTTGGGATGGTTTTTTCCGTGGCTCCGAACTGGGGTGGTTTGACGGTTGGGAAATACCAGGGAAGGGGTGGTTTCTGCCAAAGGGTACCTGCTCCTCTTTTACTGACCTTGCACACAAAAATGGTTTAATTAACGCCGTTTAATTCCTGAAAATTTAAAAGCTTCCCATTGTATTTCTTTTCCGTTTTCCCGATGCTTTTTTCTGCGGCTCCAACCGGGGGTAGTTTGGGGAGGCGAAACGCCAGGGTAGGGGTGGTTTCTTCCGAGGGCGGGCGTCGCATAACCGTGGCCGGGCTCGCGTTTAAGGTAACGAGAGCATGACGAGAACCCCTCAATTTCTCGATAACAAGGGTAGTAAAGTGACTCTCGTTAAAAGTGCACCCCCGGCGTGCCTGCCGCCCCCGAGAGACAAAGCTCGGTCTCGCACCCCCGAGATTAAGTCCCCTCGGCGCATCACCTCCGCGCCCTCCACCTTCACCTTCACCTTCACCAGGGGGGGGTTGGATTTACGCCCCGCCCCTGGAGGACCTATTTTTCCCGGGTCCCAGGGAGAGCGCTCCTCCAGGATCGACCCGCCCTTAGAAAAAATCCCCGGGGGGGTGATTCCCCCTCCCAGCCCGGGAGAAACAAAACAACCTCCAGGGGGTGGGTTTCCACCCGGTCGGGGATCAGAATAAGGAGGATGTTTATCCCGCGGAAAACGAGGGGGGAGGAAAGACGAAACGCACCCTCCAACCTCCCCTCCTCCTCAAGGGTTGCACCCTGAATTAAATTAAATAAAATTAGGGGCTCGATTTGAATAAACAAACCGGTGAGATCGGCGCTTTTTCCGAGGATCTTCACTTTGGGGGTTGAATTCTTTGGTTTTCCAGATTTTCATACATCAACCCCCCTCCCGACCCCACCCACTTTGGGGGTGCCAAGGGGTGCTTTTCTTGCGGCACTCCGGTCGCGCGTCGCGATATCATACGAGCCCTCGTAGGCCCGTTTGTATGTTGTGTGTATATTTGTATGTACATGTCTTTGTATACATTTGTACGTATATATTTCGTATATAGAGGGTTCGTACCCACTACCTATTCAGGTGAGTACGTGCCCGCTATCGTGGTAGGTCGGACGAGTTTACGAGTGCTCGCTCGTAAAAGCAACCCCCATCTCGCACGAGGGGGTTGATTTTCAGATCAGACAAGGCGAGCCGCCCCCTCGTGAGCCTTGCAAGTTTTCTGCCCTGCAGGCTCGTCGCCAAGCTCCGAGGCTTTAAAGCTCGCTGCCAGAAATCATCCCCTAACCCTGCCACCCCCACCCTCCACCCACCCGCTGGGAGAATAAACGTAAATGTACTTCCGCAAGAGGGACGATATCAAGAGGGCTCCGAAGAGCTTCCCAGAGTCGCCGCCAGATGGAGATTCCACCCCTAAGCAGCGCCATCTTCGAAACCCACCCCTAACCAGGGTGCAAAAATTTTCCCCAAAGAATTTCATTGTCTGGGCATTTTAATTACACTCGGAGTTGCGCTTACGCTAATTTCGGGATGGGTTTTAATTTATTCAGAGTTATCCGTCCGTCGGTAACCGGAAGTGAGGAGCGACAGGGGGTGGTGGAGGGATCCTGCTTGCCGACAATAGATCCTCCCCTTTATTTCCACCCTCCAGCGGATGGTAACATCCCTCCTGGGGAGGGAGGTAGGTTACCACCAACTTTTACCTCCTTTATCAGTTTTCCTATCTATCTTTCATACCGGATTAGTATTTCTTTAAGGGGGGTGGATAGGGAGTGTTTCAGGAATTTCTGTAGTTGACTTCTTGGCAATGTTTAATGGGTACTAATAATTTAATTCCTAGGGTAGGTCAGGACTGGGATGCGATATACGCGGGAACGAGTTCTTCCACCCCCAGGTCCCTCCACCATAGACTTCCACCCCCCCATATCTCACGCGAGACTCGGTCCGGTTCTCGAAGTTCTAATTGTAAGATCCCCGGCCACCCTAAAGGGAATTCTAAGTTGGACCGCGGGGAAGTTCCGCCAATTTCCCGGCTCTAATTCGCATCCCCAGGTCCTAACAAGGGACACAAAGACGGAGAAACGGCGCTGCCGAGTCCTAGGAGAGATTAGGCAGATAGATGGAGATGCTCAGATTCGGCTTTAATTCGATTTACAGAAGAACGTACCCCCGGGACAGTCGATCGAGCTCGACCAATCGCGAGCCCGATCCCCCAGGAGCTGGCCTGTCATTCGTTGGGAATTCCTGGATGCACCGCTGGTGGTGGTGCAGCGATGCAGCCTCCCGTGGTCCAGATATATCGAGATCAAGGTCCAGCTTAGGCTTCGTCGGTCTTTATCTTCTCCGTCGTGGTCGACACGGTCTCGTGGGGCAGCTCCGGCTCGCGGATCCCCATCCACTGGCACCTCTTCTGCAGCTCTATCCTGTACCTGGAGGGTTGATTAATTTTAATTAACCCGGAGAATACGGGGAGGAACCGCCGAGCCGGGATTTGGCCAGTCGCTCCGGGCTCTCGTTCCGGATCTGGAGCCCACAGGTGAGACTCCGGGTAAACTCCCTTTGGGGCCGAATTTTGGCTCGTTACCTTGGATGGTTGATGGCGTAGACCCAGGGATCGATGCAGGACACGACTTTGGCAAACAGGGCCGGGATCATCGTCGTGAACGGCGTCAGGCTCTCCCTGGGGAACCCGATCGCATCCGGCAGTGATTAGAGCTTATCGATTATGGAGGTCCTAGGGGCTCCCCGTTATCCTGGGGGGGATTTTTACTTACCTGTTCCCGTAAGCTCCCATCATGGCCACCACCGCGTACGGGGTCCAGGAACAGACGAAGAGGAAGAAGATCGTGAAGGCCACTTTCGCGATCCTCATCTCCACTCCGCGGTCCTTGTCCTGGTTGGAGACCAGCGACTTCATGTTCATCTTCTTGGCCTGGGGATGGGATAACCCGGTTTAGGATCTACCTCCTTGGTCCGGTGTGTTCGGCTTTACCCTGAGGACCTAGATCTATTTCCGAAATCCACCTGTTCACGAAGCATCTTCTCGTGTCGCCGAACGGACTTGATCAGCTGGGAGTAGAAGTAGACGATGAGGCACATCGGGATGGCGTATGCCCAGACGAAGATGCACCCGGTGAAGACCTTCGTGTCCTGGTCCTCCGTAAGATAGTCGAAGCTGCAGGTCGTCAGGAAGCCCTCTGCAAGATCCAGACCAAAGAAACTCCCCAAAAGAACTCCAGGACCCTCGGGATCGGTCACTCCTTACATAGTAATTGGATAATGGATACCCCTTTGATAAACGCGATACCGTTGTTTACCCTCCCCCTATTTCTTTCGCCTCCTCCCTTTATCAGCCTTAATAAGGACCTACACCGAGAAGAAAAAAAATTCATCGATCCAGAGAAATCTTTCCAAGACAATGATTTTTATCCTCCACGAATGACACTGGAATCGTCAGGATACCATCCAGGCGAAATAATTCCTGGAATTAGGAAAAATTCCGTGGAAAGTATGCCAATTGGATTTTTCTCCTCGGTGAAGTCCCTTCAGGGACGACCCGGAGAAGATGCACCAGCCGGACCCGATAAAGATGCATCCCTTATCATTTTTCCAGGGATTTGGTAATCAGTCGGATATTTCACCCCGACCCAGATAGCCATTCGGGGGGAAGGGGGTGTCTAATCCCGCGATGCCCCCACGGAGGAGCGATGCATCATCGGGGGATGTTTTCGCGAACTTCAACGGGGCGCAACCGGGGGCAGATATAAACCTGCCAGGGTGTTTCTCCGGCGATAAATTTCCACCCCCGGTTTCGGGGGCGGCGATCCGTCTTTCCCGGGGGCCGTTTCGAGGACTCCGGGTCTTCAGGGCGCACCTGTCGTGTACCTGCCCCACACCTTGGTGATGGGCAACACGGAGAACGGCAGTGCCCAGAACCAGGTGAACGCCACGATGATTCCCGCCTGCTTGCCGTTCAGCCTCCCATCGATGGGGCAGGATATCGTCCTGGAAGAACGGGAAAAAGTCTGCGTGAGGTCCTGATTAGAAGGGACCAGGCAAAAAATGACCTGGTGGCACTTGTGATAAGACCATATCGTTGATATGGATGACAGAAGCGAGGCTGATCGCATCGAGTGGTGGACGTAACCTTGCCAAGCCACCGACCACGTGCTGATGACACGTGGTCGGTATCACCAATCCAACTGGTGGCAAAAATGACCTGGTGGCACTTGTGATAAGACCATATCGTTGATATGGATGACAGAAGCGAGGCTGATCGCATCGAGTGGTGGACATAACCTTGCCAATAGTTGCTGCGTCCGCGATGATGTCCTGACAAGATGCGACTACCAGTGGGATTGGTGATACCGACCACGTGTCATCAGCACGTGGTCTCCCTAATCATACCTCGTCCCTATTTGTGGAGAACAAAAGACGCCTCCCTTACTTGTATCGGTCGAACGCTATGGCGGCGTTGTTGATGGCTGAGCCGATCCCGGAGATGCTGCCCAGGATGGCGTACACGTCGCAGCCCACCTCCCAGAACATCATCCGTTCCAGGAAGCTGTTGACGATTAACATCGGCATCTCTAGGGCCATCAGCAGGTCGAAGAGCGCCAGGTTGACGACGAAGATGTTGGACGGGGTGCGGAGGGAGCGCGACCTGGAGCAAGGAGCAGGCTCTTCAAGGATCCCCAGCTGCAGGAGGTGGAGGGTCGTAAACCAGGTCGGGCGAGGAGACTTAACACCCTGGGACAATGGGGACCCGATTAACGAGAAGGGACCTAGGTGTCCTGGGGTGGCAGGTCCTGGCCTCACCTGCTAGGCGGGGGTGGAGGGTCCTGGATACTCACGTGGTGAATATCCACACGACGCATCCGTTCCCCACGAAGGAGAGCACCAGCAGCATGAAGTATATCAGGGCGAGGCCGATGTGCCAGTACTTGCCGGGTGCCAGGAACCCCCTCCAGTGGGGGTGGACCAGTTCCAAGTGCTCCGGGGGCACGTTCCACCCCAGGAGACGTTCCTGCATCTGCTCGACGTGCCTGGGGGTCAGAACCCGGGTCAAGACACCCCGAGAAAAAAATCCCACATTCCTACCTCTCCCCTCGTACATGCATTAATTATCATTTATTATTTTTCATTTTCCTCGCGTCGCCTTAAACCCTGTCACACTGGCTGCGCCGACATCAGTACTTTTCATCCCCTACCTACAGGGTTGTAAATAAATTCCCATCCGATTATCCACCCCTTCAGAATGTAAGTCAACGTGGAAGAGGCACAACATGGGGCAAGAGGTCGTGGAAAAAGTCGATCTCTATGCAGGGCTTTTTTTTCAAATTTAGAAGTCCCCCTTCAGGGCGTCGCGTCGACGCGACCGGGGCGCAACCCCTTCGGAAAAGCGTCGCCTCGTTTCCCGGCGTATTCCGGAAAATCTCATTGTCGGTAACGCGGAGTCGCGTTAAGCGGAAAGTTTCGCAGGAGGGAGGGGGGTGGTCGGGGGGTGCAAAATAAATCCAAGCAGTACCGTCGGCATTATCCCCTGGGCCCCAGCCCCGGGGGGTGGACTCGCCGGCAAAGCCGCGCTCCCAAATGGATCCGCTTACGAATTCCCGGCCGATTGCGTCGGCCCCGTAATCGCGGAAAAGTCGGCCCGGAAGCCGCAGCTTCTGTTAATAATCGAGGGGGTGGCCGAGAGTGGACGCGCCGGGGGATGAAGGCGCGGACAAGGAGGAGGACGCGGCACGACGGTCGCGACGGATGATTTTCCGGCTAGTCGATCTCGCAATTTTCCGCGCGAGGGGGCCAAGGGGGGTGGGTGGAGTTTTCCGGAAAAATCCGCGGAACCGCGGTAAGGACACCTACCCTACATCCGGAATGGCGCCGACGTAGGCCAGGGGGCCGAAGACGGAGCTCTCGTTGTACAGCATCCCTCCGCAACCCCTTTCCTCATAGACAGTCAGTCAGGGGGTGGGTGCTGATAGGGTAGTTATCTTCGGTTTCCTGGTTCCCTTCCCGCCAGCAATTCGGCCTGTCTCCTTCTGACGGACGCAGGGGGTGGATTCTTCTCGGCTCGCCGTAGGGGGAGGAACACTGGGGGTGGTTCGGCGGGGGGGTGAACTTATTTCTGTTTCTTCTTTTTTTTTGGTTACTTTTCCTGCTTTTCCTATCTTCCGGGCGTGAGCGAAGTGAGACGCGCCGCGAGGACGGGGAGGTTGACGGCTCGCAACTCACTTGGCCGTTTATCACCCGGGGGTGGTTTTTATACGAGGGTGCAAGGCCACGGGGGGGACGGGGGTATAAAAGGCGAAAACCGAATCGCGTGCCTCCTGAGCGGTTAATTCGATTTGCAAATGGAAAGGAAACCTCAGCTGCGGCTGAGGCCAGCCCGTCACGCGATCTCACGGGGGATGACGCGTCGCCCCCTACCCCCTGCCCCCGCCACCCCAATTTAAAGGGAGGTCTTCAGGGATGGTCGCAGATCCCCGGAAACATTCCGCGAATAGAAGGGCTCCCAGAGGTTAGTCCGGACGGAAGGTCTGGAAGAGCCGAAGAAATCCTCCGACCCCGGGGGCGGTTCACCCCTTTCGCCCCTTGTCCGGCCGCAAGCACCGGGGGCGCATTGGACCGCGTCATAAAACGGTGGTCGTGGCGGCGAGTGGGGCTTTGATTTACGAGCGGGTCTGCCACGTCCGCTGTTGCCACCCTAAGCCTCTCCTGGGGGGGAGGGGAGGTGGGTTCAGCGGGGGCGGATTTTCGCGAGGGGTCGCGGCGACTCGCGGCCGCGTTTACATCTGCGCCGGGAGAAAAGCAAAAGCATTTTTCACTATTTCCGGATATTTACGAGCTTTGTTTGCGCGGGGGGAGGAGGCGGGAGGGCGATGGGGCGCGGGGGTACAAGTTTCGCACCCCCTGGCGGCCGGCATTGTCCACCCGGGCGGAGCACCGGCTGGTGAAAAATCTGGGGGGTGAAACAGCAGGGGAGAAAAAAAATATATGACTGACGCGCAATGGGCTGCCACCCCCGATTAGCCCCAGCCATTTCGCCCCTGAAGGATTATTCGCGCCCCCCACCCCCAGCCCCCCGTCGGTGCCCCACTTCCCATGGTCCCAGTTTCCGCAAGAATTCGATTCCTGGAAAGGAAAAAGTGGACGGTGGAATTCCGGGAATTCCTCGAATCCTTTAACTAGGACCTCGAGAGGCGAGTCAAAGTTCGGGGGGAATCCCCCCCCGGCCACCCCCGGAAGAAAACGCAGCTCTTCTCGCTTCGAGGGTGGAGGCGCTCGACTTCCTCCCGGGGCCTTCGAGTTCGATTAATTCCCGGTCCTCCCTCAAGACCAGGTCGGGGGTTGAATACATTTGCCGCCCCCGCGGCGTATTCAAACGACGCCATTTAAATAATCCCGATGGCTGTTGACTTGAAAAAAAGGTGTCACCCCGGCGTCGCGGTGGCGGCGTCGCTGTATTGGTCCCACCAATTAGCGGTAATCCGCGCCTCGCTCGCGCTTCTCATCTGCATCCCTTTGTGCCGGGGGGTAGTCCCCCCCCCAGGGTGGAAAAGTCGAGCCACGGCTCCTAAGGGCGAGACCGACTCGCCCCCTCCCCCGCTCGCCACCCTCGACCGAATCTCGATTCACCAATCCCCGGGGTCGTGCTTTTCACCCCCGTTGCGGGGGGGGGGGGGAGGAGAGTTGAAAACGTCTTCGGGACGCGGGGCGATAAATCCTTTTTTTTCCACCCCCAGGTTCGGGATCGTCGCTCGCGGTTCCCAGGATGTCCGGGGATATCGGCGGGTATCCGGCTCCGCGTTCTCGGGGGCAACCCCCTCCGGGGGGGATGCGGCAGTTGAGGGGGTCGAGCCCCAGGGACGAGGATTTCCATTTCCCGGGTTTTCTCGTCTCGTAAACATCGTTCGGCAATAATTGGTGCGTCGGCATTCAGGGGGCTCCCACCCACCGTCCCCCTCCCGGCCACCCCCGGCCGCGAAGCCACCCTTTATCCCTCGTTTTGTTCCCATTGCTAATGGAACCGGGGGATGAAAGGGGGACGAGAACGCGAAAAACTTGGAAACGCGCGTTTCCGCGTCGCCGAGGTCGCCGGGGGTGGTCCGCCCCGGCCCCCCGCCGGGGGTTACGCCGGATGAATGGGGGATAATCGTCAATGAGACCCCCCCCACACTGGGGGGGTGCCAAGTGCACGGGGCCTTGGGCTCCTCGCACAATACCAATCCGCAATTATGCGCCATTCAGACCCAGCCGGATGCGGGATCCGCGTCGCGACCTCTCGCGAGCGGACCATCCCCTCCGGGGGGGGCGAGTCACCCCCCGGACATGTACTCCGACCGCAGAATAGTTTCGGCCGGAATAAATGCCACTTTTTCCGAAGGCCCGCCCACTGTCCGCGGTTTCAATTTCGATTTTTTCCGCCATCCTGGGGGGAAGTGGGTTACGCGCCCCACCGGGGGTGGAGGGGACCCCCACCCTACAGAGGGGGGTATCCATTCCCCACCCAGCGCCTCCTTTTCCTTCCGGGCGCTCTTTCCGGATATCCAGGCCCTCTCATTTGCCGCGGCTTCGAACCCCTCCTGCCCCCGCCCCATTTCACCCCCCACGGGGGAATCGACAAAAGCCTCGGAGACCTCGGGGGTTGGTAAAGCGGCCGGGAACAGGAAGAACACTCGCGGTCTCCCGGGGAGTATCTCCATAATTTCGGGAATTGCCTTTCGACGGCTCGCGGGCCCGAGATGAAAGACCCGGGGGTTGCAAAAGCATCCCCGACGAGCCCCCCACCTCCACCCCCCCAAACGAACCGATCGAGCCACGCGTCTTTCCCTTTGCGAGATCTCTTTGCACTAACCTGGCCTCGATTCCGCGACCTCGCCCAATTTGACCAAGCTCTGGGAATTCTGGAATTTCTGGAAATACTGAAAAATATGGAAATTCCGGAAATTTCCGAAATATCGTATTTTCCACCCAACCCCCTTGTCATAAGGGATGATTCCGTCATGTGGTTCGCTTCCCGTCGTAGTTTCTCCTGCCGATCCAAGGAGACCCTCTGACGTCGAGCGCGACGCAAACCGCGGGGGGGGCAACCCCCTCACCCCCACATCTTGGACACAATCGACCCTTTCTTCCCCGTATCACTTCTTATCCCGGGGTTGTGCCTCAAAAGACACGGAGTTTCGGTGCTCGGGGCATCTCCGGGAAACGCACGTGAAAAGTCGTTTCATCCCCCGATGGCCGCCCACCCCCTCGTAACCCCGCCAAGGTGGAATTTCCTTCCCTTAGTCCTTTATCCTGGAAGCCTTTTATGGTCTCGTTACAATTACGAGTCGGTCCGGATAATCCGCGGGAGGCGCAGCAGCCCCCCCCCCCAGCCCCCAGCCACCCCAAGGGGATATCCTCTCGACGTCCTGACACAAAGGTCCTCTTTTCCGCGGATCTTGGGTGGAGGACCCTGTGGGTGGCGGGGGCGGAAACCCCCATGTGTGACTGGGGGACGGGGGCGCCTTGCCCCACCCACCCCCCCGCCCGGAAAATACTGGTCAATGGACGGGCGAGAATAAACCAGCGGCTGCGGATTATTCCTAATACTTCATACAGAGAATTTGGTACAAATTCGAAATTTTAAATTTGAGAATTTCAGAATTTCAGAATTTTAGAAATTTCTCTATCTCGAAATTCGGAAACCTCGAGATTTCCTTCGCATTAGCCGCGTTAATTCCGCAGTTCACGCTCGGCAGCCGCGCGCTCGGTCTTGCTCCTTTTTCCTCTCATTTCCGCATAAGAGGGGACCAATGCGTCCCTCTTCCGGGGGGCGCTTTTATCCGCGAGGCGTCGCGGCGGCCGCATCGGCGGCCAATTTAAATCCGAAGCCGAAACAAGCCAACAAAGGGGCCGAGCCGCGCGCGCGGAACAATGAGCCGCGCGCGAGGAGCGGTGTGCCCGCGCGTTTCATCCGCGCGCGCGCGTTATCCGGCCGCGGGCCGGCTTAATTTTGCCCGCGCCGCGACGCCCGGCGCCGGGGGCGCGGGGGACATTTCGATCGCCCCCGGGGATGCATCTCGGCGTCTTTTGTCTCGGTCACAATGCCGTACCGGGCACAAAAGTGACTAAGTGCCCCTAATACCGGGCATTATGCGACGCCGCGCCTTCTACACGGCGCCGCGACGCGGCGGACCGCGGACGCGATTCCGCGGGACTCTCCCTCCCCCCGCCGCCAATCGCCCGCAAATTACGCGGAAGGACGCTAATCACCGGAGACTTTTCATTACCGCGGTAAAGAGTGCGCGAGTCATCAAGGGGGGCCTTTTACAGCGACGGGGGGTTGCGCCCCCACCCCCCCCCTGCAACCCCGAAGAAGTGAGTCGCCGTTCTTCCGGCACGGAATCGCCGCCCGAGGGACTCTCGCGAGCCGCCCATGAGAAATTAAGGGCCTTCCTAAATCGATATTTAATCAAAATAGCCCTCGTGGGGCGGGGGCGNGGAAGTGGGCGCCGGACGAGGCCAAGATTAATTAACCGTAATAAAAGGGTAATTTCATCCGGTGTTACTTCGTTATATCGACCTACCCCTCCCTACCCCTACTCGCAGATTCCCGCCCGCTCGCCAAATTAATGTTAATCCACGCGCGTTATCAATTATTTCTTTCGCCACCTCCTCCATTTCCTTTTTTTCTTCTCCCCACCTCGCAAACGGCCCGCGAGGAGTTTCACTAATTCCCAAGGACAAATAACCCGTCGAACTTCGTGAAACAACCCTCCCCCCCAACCTGGGATCGGGGGGGGGGGGAGAAAATGAAAAGCTCGACTTGCACCGGCGAGCCGGTAATTTCGGCAAATTGACGGCGATATTTCAAGCCCCCTCCAGGAGGAGGTGGAGGGCGGGAGGGAGGGGGGGGAGGAGGAGGAGCACTTTCCGATTTCCCCAAGTTTCCCCATAAACAAGCCCGCGAATTTTCACCCTCCCGGTCTGCCTCCCCCACACTCCTCCTCCTCCTCATTCCCTCCGTTTCCGCGCGATTGACGAGAGTGATCGACAAGAGGGGGTGACGGGGGGGGGGTGGTGGTGGCGAAAAGACCGAAGGGCCCCTTAAAACGGAGAACTCTCCTTTCTAAAATTCCTTATACGATTACTCAGACCCCTGACGCCTCCCCCCAAATTTGGGGGCGATATAACGATAGGGGGGCTCCCCTCCCCCCCGGAATCGCGAAATTTCCA